ATGCTCAACAAACATGGGCCGTAATTTCTCTAATAGATTCATTCTCGTGATTGTGCAGCTCCATCTAGAGGACAAAATGATATTTTCTCATGGAGGGATTTCTGAAAACTATACAGCATTTTGGCCACTAGATGGAGCTGCGTGACCACGAGAATGAATCTATTAGAGAAATTACAGCCAACATTTGAGTCTGCACAATTCTCTGTGACATTCCTCCAATCAATGTTTTCTAAACAGAACCCTTCGGGTCCTCCTAACAGTCGGGCACTTGTGGAATATTTTTATTTAAAAATAGGATCTGTCTGTGGGGGGACAAGGGAATGGGAGATGCCGAATCACTGCTGGGAGGGGGAGCTGAGCTGCTGAGTCACTGTTGGGGGGGGGGGGGAGCGGGGGTACAGGGGGGAGCTAAGTTACTGCTAGGAGAGGGGACTCTGAGCTGCTAAGTCAATGCTGGGAGGGGGGGGACAGGGAGGCTGAGCTGCTGAGTCACTGCTGGGGGGAGCTGCGTTTCTGAGCCACTGGTGGGAAGAGTGGGAGGGAAGATGGGTAGCTGAGCTGATCTGCTGAGTCACTGCTAGGAGGGGGGGTACAGGGGGAGCAGAGTTACTTCTAGGAGGGAGGGAGGAGCTGAGCTGCTGAGTCAATGCTGGGAAGGAGGACAGGGAGGCTGAGCTGCTGAGTCACTGCTTGGGGGGGGAGGCTGAGCTGCTGAGTCACTGCTGGGAGGGAGGGGGGAGCTGATCTGCTGAGTCACTGCTAAGAGGGGGTGGGAAGATGGGTAGCTGAGCTGCTGCGTCACTGCTGGGACAGAAGGGGGAGAGGGGGAGCTGAGCTGCAGAGTCACTGCTGGGAGGGGGTGGGAAGATGGGGAGCTGAGCTGCTGAATCACTGCTGGGAGAGGGGGAGCTGAGCTGCTGAGTCACAGCTGGGAGGGGGGACAGGGAGAGGCTCAGCCACTGCTGGGAGGGGGGGGGGGGGGGGGGGAGAGGCTGAGCTGCTGAGTCACTGCTGGGAGGGGGTGGGAAGATGGGGAGCTGAGCTGCTGAGTCACTGCTGGGAGGAGGGGTACAAGGGGAGTGGAGTTACTGCTGGGAAGAGGAACAGGGGGAGGCTGAGCTGCTGAGTCACTGCTGGGGGAGGGGGGAGGGGGTACAGGGGCAGCAGAGTTACTGCTGGGAAGACTGCAAGGGAAGAAGGGAGGCTGACCTGCTAAGCCACTGCTCACCCCACTTCCTCTGAGCCCAGGTAGTCCTGGACCCACCTCCAGCCTGCGATTTGTGAAGGAGAAGCAGCACAGCAATGAGCCCATCTCTCTGTCCATCTGTTATCCTCTCCTATCAGCACATGAACTGATTGGCTGCCTGTGCTGCTTCTCCCTCTCACACTGCAGCCCTGCTGTACAAGGATTGCAAGAGGCTGATGCCGGGTCATAACACGCATGCAATGATGACAGAGCTGCGTTTAGTTTGTGTCCTTTATATCTGCCTGGAGTTTGGCATCAACAATCCCCCCTCTGTTACTGCAGCTTCATTTATGGGCAGCGTGAAATCGATGTGCGGAGATCCGGGCCTGTGAATGCTCTCTGTGTTTCAGCGACAGGAGAGAGACGGCAGTGTTTGCAGAGCGTGCCGCGCAGCGCTGGTCTCGGTGGTTTGCCGGCTGTATGAATCGGTGTCTTGTTTGCCGCTCCCGTCTGTTTACATTCCAAAAATATCCCTCTTACCGGAAGAAGATGGCGGTCGCTCCGGAGAGTTTGGTGTGTTGAGTGTGCGGCTATAACACGATGCCTGCTGTGAAGGGGCCCCGGAGGTTTGGGGGTGACTTTTATTTGAGACCTGATTTTTCTCTGCTGCTGGTAAGTAGCATTTAGGGCCCCTACACACGGGGCTTTTATAGGCATATTATAGGCCGAGCGTCTTTTCCCGGCATCCGGGGAGCCATGCGTGCCGTGTACAGTCTGTCATTACCAATGATTGGCTGTACGTGGATATTCAGAATGAGTATCACATAATTCCATCAACACTAACCTTACCCTATTGAGAATGGAGATCACCGCACTGCACCAACACTAACCTTACCCTATTCAGAATGAATATCACCGCACTGCACCAACACTAACCTTATCCTATTCAGAATGGAGATCACCGCACTGCACCAACACTAACCTTACCCAATTCAGAATGGATATCACCGCACTGCACCAACACTAACCTTACCAAATTCAGAATGGATATCACCGCACTGCACCAACACTAACCTTACCCTATTCAGAATGAATATCACCGCACTGCACCAACACTAACCTTACCAAATTCAGAAATGGATATCGCCGCACTGCACCAACACTAACCTTACCAAATTCAGAATGAATAATCGCCACACTGCACCAACACTAACCTTACCAAATTCAGAATGGATATCACCGCACTGCACCAACACTAACCTTACCAAATTCAGAATGGATATCACCGCACTGCACCAACACTAACCTTACCAAATTCAGAATGGATATCACTGCACTGCACCAACCACACTAACCTTACCCTATTCAGCATGAATATCACCGCACTGCACCAACACTAACCTTACCGTATACAGAATGAATATCCCCGCACTGCACCAACACTAACCTTACCCTATTCAGAATGGATATCACCGCACTGCACCAACACTAACCTTAAACCTGTTCAGAATGGAGATCACCGCACTGCACTAACACTAACCTTACCCTAATTCAGAATGGATATCACCGCACTGCACCAACACTAAACCTTACCCTATTCAGAATGAATATCACCGCACTGCACAACACTAACCTTATCCTATTCAGAATGAATGTCACCGCACTGCACCAACACTAACCTTACCCTATTTAGAATTAATATCACCACTTTGCACCAACACTAACCTTACCCTATTCAGAATGAATATCACCGCACTGCACCAACACTAACCTTACCCTAATTCAGCATTAATGGCACCAATTTACACCAACCCTGAATTAATGGCACTGCACTGCACCAACACTAACCCTACCCCTATTCAGAATGAATATCACCACATTGCACCAGCAATAACTCTAACCTATTTAGAATGAATGTGACCACATTACAGCAACACTAACCATACCCTATTCAGAAGGAAATGGTACCGCATTACACCGACCCTACCCTAATTCCAGAATGAATGGCACCTACATTGCACTAACACTAACCCTACCCTATTTAGAATGAATGTACGCATTACATCAACCATACCAGTTCAGAATGAATATCACCGCATTTGCACCAACAATAACCCTATGCCACTATTCAGAATGAAATATCACCGCATTGCACCAACCCTGCCCTATTCAAATGAATTGGCGCACCACCACTGCACCAACACTAACCCTACCCTATTCAGAATGAATATCACCGCATTTGCACCAAAACACTTAATGCACAATGTTATGCGTTTGTTGCAATGTGCACATTACTGCAACAACATATCGTGTGAACAGGCTCCCTAAGTATTGAAGCCAAAGCCAGGTGACTAAGCATTTTCAGAGGGGGGTCAATGGAGACCTCCATGTTCTTCTTGTATAGCTTTCCCCCTTTGAGCTGGAAATGACAGCACATTGTATTCTGGGTGGGGAGGCTGAGCATCAACAGGCTGTCATTTAATAGCTCAGCATTTGTTTCAAAGCCTCCCTGTACATGGGTCAGTAGAGCGCCCTCCGCGCAGTCCCATCACTACCCACACTCCAGTAAATAGGCACTCACCCCAGAATTGTACAGTTAACCTCACCGCCTGTCACCCGGCGTGTCACCGTCCGGGCATTCGCTGGCTGGAAACATAATCAGGACACACATTGCATAACCAACCAAAACCGAGCTGCCGCCACTCACTGCTGGTCTTTATATAACGGGGTGTCACATCTCCATAAACTGGCCAACACCGAATATAACCGTCTCTCTCCCGAGTCACAGGGGGGGGCCATCCTGTCATCACACCTGGCCGGGAATGGAACACTAAAAGCCAAGAATGTCACAGCCGGCTGAAAATTCAGATGGAGTTGTACAGATGTCTATTGTGTGTGAGCTCACGGGAGATCCAAGGAGTTTAGCAAAAACTGTTGGCTGGATATACTGGAATATATATTCGATGACGCTCAGGAAGAGAGATGTAGGCTTCATTTGGACGTACAGTTTGGGTGTGGGGGTGCAAAAAACACGCAGTCAAGCTGCATTTTTTTACCACCCCGCCAACCATGTTCTCTTAAACTGCAATAGGCAAGCAGATGGGGTGTTTTACCTGCCGCGGTCTCAATGCTTCGCCTCGCGCCTGCGCCAAAATTTACTCGACGTACGGATTCGCAGACGGCAATCCCGCCGAATGCTACCACACTCAGGCAAATGGGGACGCGCAGCACACGACCCACAAACCGCTTCCTTGACTTTGCTTTTTTTTTTCTTCTTTTCTTGATATTTTGCTTTATATTCTTTCTTTTTTTCTGTTTTTAATATAAAATGTTAGCATGTTATTGATTATTACATGAAGTATATGGAAGTGTAACGTGAAAAATCTATGACACCCCTTTCCGAATCCCCAAAATGATGTATATTATCTGAGTCAAGAGGCAGCCAACACAGATCCTTTATCCTTTATCCTACCCCCCCCCCCCCCCCCCATACATACAAACCTGTACAATGTATACATCAACATATATATATACTCCCCCCCCATACATTCCAATACAAACCTGTACAATGTATACATCAACATATATATACTCCCCCCCCCCCCCCCCCCCCCATACATTCCAATACAAACTCTGTAGTACAATGTAACACATCAACCTATAAACTACTACCCCTTCCCCCCCCCCATACATTCTAATACAAACCTGTACAATGTATACATCAACATATATATACTCCCCCCCCACCCCCCCCACTCCATACTTTCTACTAAAACAAATCTGTACAATGTATACATCAACCTATGCCTACTACCCCCCCCCCCATACACTCTAATACAAACCTGTAAAATTTATACATCATCCTATATGTACTACCCCCCCCCCCATGCATTCTAATAACAAACCTGTACAATTGTACCTGTTGTACATTGTATACTACACACCCCCCCCCACCCCCATAAATGTATACAAACCAATACAAACCTGTACATTGTAATACATCAACATATATAATACTACTATCCCCCCCCCATACACTCTAATACAAACCTGTACAATGTGTACATCAATATATATATACTCCCCCCCCCCCCCCCCCCCCCCATACATTCTAATACAAAACCTGTACAATGTATACATCAACCTATATATACTACCCCCCCCCCCCATACATTCTAATACAAACCTGTACATTGTATACATCCAGGGGCAGACTGACAACTCATGGGCCCCCCCGGGCAATAAGGGATCATGGGACCCCTGTTCCTTGCCCAAACTCAAAAAAAGCCTATGAAAAAGGTTCCAGGGTCATCTCATGGGGCCCCCTACTGACCCCGGGCCCTCAGGCAGTGCCCGAGTTTCCAAATGGTAAAGTCCGCCCCTGTATACATCATCCTATATATATACCCCCCCCCCCATACATTCTAATACAAACCTGTACAGTGTATACATCAACCTATATATACTCCCCCCCCCCCCCCCCCCCCCCGGTACATTCTAATGAACCTAATCTGTACATTGTATACATTATCCTATATATAACTACCCCCCCCCCATACATTCTAATGAACCAAATCTGTACATTGTATACATTATCCTATATATACTACCCCCCCCACCATACATTCTAACCAACTCTGTACAATGTATATATCAACCTATATATACTACACCCCCCCCATACATTCTAATTCAAATCTGTACAATGTATACATCAACCTATATATATATATATATATACTACCCCCCCCCCCATACAATCTAATACAAACCTGTACAATGTATACATCATCCTATATGTACTACCCCCCCCCCCATACATTCTAATACAAACCTGTAACAATGTATACATCATCCTATATGTACTACCCCCCCCATACATTCTAATAGAAACCTGTACAATGTATACATCATCCTATATGTACTACCCCCCCCCCCCCCATACATTCTAATTGAAACCTGTACAATGTATACATCATCCTATATGTACTACCCCCCCCCCCCATACATTCGAATACAAACCTGTACAATGTATACATCATCCTATATGTACTAACCCCCCCCCCATACATTCTAATACAAACCTGTACAATGTATCCATTGTCCGAACCTCCTTTTCATTCTAACAAACCAAGTCTATGCATTGTATATATTATCTAAGGCCAGGACAAGGGGGGGGGGGCAGTAGGGGCAGCTGCCCTGGGCACTATGGAATCATGTGAGGTAGGGAACGGCACGAAGAGGAGGTTGGGGGGTGAGATTTGTGTCAGGGGGTGTTTGGGGGCGGCAGGGGAAAATTTGCAGAGGGTGTGCAGGGAGTGGTGATTTGAGAGCATTTGTGTTGGAAGAGGGAATGGGGTCAAAAATATTTGTGCTAGGAGGGAGAATTTTTTTTTTTGTGCTAGGAAAGGTAATATGATAGGGGGGAGGGGATTTTGTGCTAGGAGGGGATTCTTTTTTTTTGGGGGGGGGGATTTGCGTTAGGATGGGAGATCAGGGAGAGAATTTGTGCTGGGAGGGGGGATTTGGAGTGGGGGGGGGGGGGGGGGGAGACATTGTGCTCAGTGGTGAAAATTTGAGGATTTGCACTAGGAAACCATGGGAATTTTGTTTAAGGGGGGGGGGTGGATAAATGTTAGGAGGGGAATTTTTTGGGGGGAGGAGATTTGTGCTAGGAGGGGAATTTATTTTTGGGGGGGACTTGTGTTAGGATGGGGGATTGGGGATAAGTTGTGCTGAGAGGGGGATTTGGAGTGGGAGGAGAGAGGCATTGTGCTCAAAGATGAAATTTGAGGGGTAGAGGATTTGTACTAGGAGGGGGGAATTTTTTTTAAGGCGGGGAGGGGATTTGTGCTAGGAGGTGAATTTTTTGTGGAAGAGGATTTGTGCTAGGAGGGGATTTTTTTTGGGGGGGGGTTGTGTTAGAATGGGGGATTGGGGATATTTGTGCTGGGAGGGGAATTTGGAGTGGGGGGAGAGAGGCATAGTGCTCAGTGGTGAAATTTGAGGGGTAGAGGATTTGTACTAGGATGGGGGGAATTGTTTTAAGTTGAGGGAGGGCATTTGTGCTAGGAGGGGAATTTTTTTGGGGGGAAGGGATTTGTGCTAGGAGGGGAATTGTTTTGGGAGGGAATTTGTGTTAGGATGGGGGATTGGGGAGAATTTGTGCTGAGAGGGGGGATTTGGAGTAGGGGGAGAGACATTGTGGTCAAAGGTGAAATTTAAGGGGTAGAGGATTTGTACTAGAAGGGGGGAATTTTTTTTAAAGGGAGGAGGGGATTTGTGCTAGGAGGGGGACTTTTTTGGGGAGGGAATTTGTGTTAGGATGCGATATTGGGGAGAATGTGTGCTGGGAGAGGGGATTTGGAGTGTGTGTGGGGATTTGTGCTCATAGGTGAAATTTGAGGGGTAGAGGATTTGTACTAGGAGGAAGGGCTGGGGGCATATAGGGAATGAGCAGATTTGAGCTGGAGGGGTTGGGGGGGGGGGATTTCAGCAGGGGGCAGATTTGTAATGGGAGGAGGGGGAATTAATGCTTAGGTAACCATGTAGATTGATTGTCGTAGTTTTTTGTTTTTTTTTGGTGGGAGGTGATTTTTGCTGACACATGTTCATACATCTTGGGCAGGGGCGCAATTCGGCATGTTTGGGCTCTAGGTGATCTTCCATCCTATCCTCATACATTCTATTACACCAAATATATACAATGTATGCATCATCCTATATATATCATTGTTTGGGTGCCGGCAACAAACATTTCCCAAACCCGTATATAACTAATAAATAATGAACACAAAGATCCATAAATCATTCCAAAATCTCCCAATAAACATTTATTATTATTATACAGGATTTATTATTATTATTATTATACAGGATGAATTATTATTATTATTATTATTATACATTTATTATTATTATTATACATTTATTATTATTATTAATTATTATTATACGGGATTTATTATTATTATTATTATTATACAGGATTTATTATTATTATACAGGATGAATTATTATTATTATTATTATACATTTATTATTATTATTATACATTTATTATTATTATTATACATTTATTATTATTATTATTATTATTATACGGGATTTATTATTATTATTATTATTATTATTATTATTATACAGGATTTATTATTATTATTATTATTATTACACAGGATTTATTATTATTATTATTATTATTATTATTATTATTACACAGGATTTATTATTATTATTATTATTATTATTATTATTACACAGGATTTATTATTATTATTATTATTATTATACATTTTTTATTATTATTATTATTATTATTATTACACAGGATTTATTATTATTATTATTATTATTATTATTATTACACAGGATTTATTATTATTATTATTATTATTATACATTTTTTATTATTATTATTATTATTATTATTATTACACAGGATTTATTATTATTATTATTATTATTATACAGGATTTATGGCGCCAACAGTTTGCTCAGCACTTTACAATATAACGGGAGACAATACAGCAACAATACAGTTCAATACAAGAGGGATAGGAGGGCCCTGATCCTGGGAGCTTACAATCTAAACAATATCTTTCTACATTTGAAGAATCAGTCCCTTTCCATTGGCAGTCATTGGAGCTCCTCGGTGGGGTGGGGGGGATTGGAGCTCCTCGGTGGGGGGGTCGGAGCAGCTGCTCGCTGTGCAGACAGAAGAGAATTTGTCTGGCAGACGGATCCTTCCCATAATGATTTCTGTGGCCCGCAGAGATCCGTGTCTTCTCCAGCTTCCCGCAGTGCTTATAGGCTGATGGCATGGCGCTGTCACTTGCTGCACCGGTGAGTCACAGGCCTGGGGTGGAGAGGGGGGGGGGTGGTAACAGCAGATTGGGGTCAATGTGTCTGCGCAGCCGGGGGCTCAGCCCAGTGGGAGGACGTTGGGTGACAAAGCTCGCCTTGTGAGCAGCTGCAGTTTTACATTTCCAGAGCCAGACTGCGCGCTGCCAGCGTCTAGGAGCAGCAGACCGACCTCTCCGTACAACGGCTCACGAGGTCCCCCCATCACTCCTCTTCCTTTAACTTGCAGGTCAGTAAGCTGCCTCCAGGGGCCCCGGGGCCCCCCTGATGTAGAGAGTGCGCGCTGTGGCTTTGAACGGAGAGCGGCGCATTGTTGGCTTTCAGCGTAGCTGTGGCTTTGGACGCCGCGGATAATTTCTGGCTCCTGTTTGTGTTCAGCAACACTTCCCACATGGAGGAAAAATATATTTTTTAAAAATATTCTTCCCAAATATATTGAAATGCTACAATTTTGGCCTTAGTCAATTATATGTGTGTGTGTGTGTGTATATATATAATATACTGTATGCTGAAATCCATTTTTTTATATATTATAAAGTATATGAAAAAAAAAAAAAAAAAAAATATATATATATATATATATATATATATATATATATTTAAATCTATTTTTCAGATTTTTTTTTTTATATAAAAAAGTAATTTTAACATATTTTTATATATATTTTGGAAATGCATTCCAAAAATGTAGCTAAATGTATTTTTAAAGACTTGCAGTATATTTGAAAATGAGCGTAGTTGTGGCTTTGGACGCGGACAATTTCTGGCTTCTGTTTGTGGTTGGCGACGGTTCCCACATGGAGGAAAAATATATTTTCAAAATACTCTTCCCAAATGTATTGAAATATATTTGAAATAATACAATTTTGGCTGTATTCCCTATATTTAAAAATATATTTAAATAAAAATATATATATATACTGTATGCTGAAATGCATTTTTTATATATTACAAAATATATAAAAAA